TATCATTTTCCAATTAAAAAAACACCAGGTGTCCCAGGAGAAATGGTAACTCTAGGTTTGGGTCAGGAAGAGTAAGGAAGTTCTCAAAGGCTAATGATTGTATAAAAAGACTGAATAGTCAATTGAATAAGTTCCCACTGACCAAGGACAATTTGAGCAGCAATCAGGTTAATAACTGCAATAGCTAAAGCACAACAAATAAATTAAATTCTATTAGTACATTATGATACTAAATAAGCAAATAAAACCAAGCCTAATTAGTCATCTTGGGAAGATTTTGGAAAACCAACCCATTATTTTGAAAGCTGGTAAATAATGGGAAAGAATCAAGCATTAGCCTGCCTTTCCTATACAAAGGGCATCTTAGAGTAACAAAGTAACCGATTACTCGATATTTGCTGGCATAGAAAGTATTCAAACTAGTCACTGCAGAAGGACAGAATAATATATCTTTATAATGCCTAATGAGATGATTCTAGGCAATACATATTAATGATTCCTTCTGTCTCAAAAGGAAAAATCATCAGATGTGACATATTTCCCCATGTCAGTACACATGACATCATCTATTAAGTTTTTGTTTTTTTTTAAACCAAACCAGAATCTAATCAAACATTTAGACCTAATGATCAATTTGAAGGAAAAACAATTGTTGGGTACCACTTAGTTGATTCTGACTCATAGCAATTCTATGTACAAACAGAATGAAACATTTACAGGCCTTCAGGAAGTATTTCTTAAGTGAGCAAATGAGGATGAAAGTAGCATTACCTGTATGTCCCTCATGGTCTGAAATACACCGACTCAGTCACATCCAGCTAGCCCAAATTTGGCAGGCGGCCCAAAAGAGTCTTGGTGGTGCAATGATTAAGTGATAGGCTACTAACCAAAAGGTGGGCAGTTTGAAACCACTCAGTGGTTCCATGAGAAAAAGACCTGGTAATCTGCTCTGCTAGCTCTGGTAGCGTAGTGGTTACGAATTGGGCTGTGAACCGCAAGGTCAGTAGTTCGAAACTACCAGCTGTTCCGCGGGAGAAAGATGAGGCTTTCTGCTCCCGTAAAGAGTTACAGCCTCGGAAACCCTGTACAGGGTCACCATGGGTCGGAACCGACTCAATAATAACAGCAATCTGCTCTAGTAAAGATTACAGCCTAGAAAAGCCCATGGGGCAGCAACAACAAAGACTTCTAAGGAACATAGTTCAAGTACTGGATAGTTCACAGGTAGCTCAGGAGATTGATGTGAGGTAGCCCCTCCACTACACTCTAGACTCCACACAGGGTTGCTGTGAGTTGGAACCAACTCGATGGCACCTAACAACTATGAAAGAAGGTGCTCTGAACCATCGTTATCTTTGCCCCATACCCAGGGCTAAAGGGTCTCCACCCTTGAGCTCAGCCTGACTTTGCTTTACACCTGACGTTCTGGGTTCGCAGAAGATTTGTACTCTCATCCCCTACCTCCCGCATCCCTTAGGTTACTTTCGGTTCCTCCAACCGGTCCAACTATTTCTGCCTTCACGTGCTGCCTGGAATTCTCTTCTCCCAGCTCTTATGCAGTCCTGCTCTCTAAAGAAGCCTTCCCTGTGATTCCCCAACACTTCTCTGCTGTCCTTTTCACAAATACCACTCGTAATAAATAATGATATATTTATTTTACTTAATAACAACAACAGCACACTGACTTCCACTTACCATGTGCCAAACTCATGGACTCTCTTTTTATTTAACTCTCATAACCACTCCCTAAGGTGGTGATGGTGATTATGTGCTGTAGAGTTGGTTCCGACTCACAGTGACCCTGTACAGGGTTTCTGAGGCTGTAAATCTTTACGGGAGCAGAAAGTCTTATCTTTCTCTCGCATAACAGCTGGTAGTTTTGAACTGCTGACCTTGTGGTTCACAGCCTGACTCAGATTCGTAATCACTATGCTTCCAGAGCTCTTTACTCCATAAATTGGGTTCTATTATTATTACCATTCTACAGATCATGAAACTCAGGATAGAGGGGTTTCAAACCTAGCCTAGGGTCATTGAGCCAAGCCTTTTATCATTATACCATACACATCTATTCACATCTTCCCCTACCCTGCTGATTTAAACCCCAAGACGGTGAGGGTCAAGAGCACATTATTCAACAAAGCATTCCTGACCCTAATTACAAAGCCTGATATAAAACTGGTGCTCCATAAGTGTATGTTGAAAGAATGAAAATATTAAAAAGAACACTGACAATTTCTCTTTTTACATCTCTGACCCATCTCTTCTTTCCCATACGTCCCTAACACAGGGTCCAGCTCCCAGAAGGTACTCAAAGCATCCAGAAACACTCACAGCTTGAAAAAGTTCCTGTGAACACCCAGTTCTGTCCCCGTAGTTCACTAATGAAGAGCGACCTTTCCAGGTTTTCCTTTTCTCCAGAAAGAGATGATCAGGGCAAAATGGACAACAAAGGACACATGGGTGGTCCTAAGAGACCAAGGTCTAGCAGAAGAGCGAGGTTAGTGTCCTGCTGGGGTGGGATGGGAGGTGGAGTCTAGAGTGTAGTGGAGGGGCTACTCCTGCCCTACCTTGCAGACAAACACCTTTACACCAATCCCCTGAGCTACCTGTGAACTGTCCAACAGTTGAACTATGCTCCTTAGAAGCCTTTGTTGTTGTTGCCAAGTGCCGTCAAGTCAGTTCCAACTCATAGCAACCCTGTATAGGGTTTCTGAAGAGTGGCTGGTGAACTTGAACTGTCAACCTTGTGGTTCAAACCGACTCTGCAGTCCAGCACATTAGCCCGCAATGCCACGCCAGGACTCCTTAGAAAGATTAGAAGCTTTGTTGTTAAGTGCCGTCGAGTTGGTTCCAACCCATAGTGACCTTGTATAGGGTTTCCGAGGCTTAGGACATACCACTAGATCCCACTGAGGACTATAGGCTTCTTTAGGTTTTCCTTCTCACATCCTCCTTTTCCTGGAGATGAGGTGGCAAGGTCACCAAACAAAAGGGCCTGTAGGCCAGGTCTCTGAAAACGCCTTCAGAAGCAGAGGCCTTTTTGTAGAGGCTCCTGGTCACTCCTTTCTTCTGCTTATCTCTACAGCCCTCATAAGTCCTAAGCATCTCGGCATAAGAAGTTCCAAGAATCCCAAACAGTATAGATAAAGGCCACAGGAGCTGTAAGTGAGTGGAGAGGACAACAGTCTGGCCTGGCATAACCACAGAGAGGTTCTAGGATGAGATGGCACTTGGAATGAGCCTTGAAGGTGGGAACCACTGGGTTTCTGGAGAATGAGAGAGAAATTCGGGGAACAGCGGGTACAAATAATGCCTGACTTCTTACTCTGTCCTAGGTGATGGGTTAAGTGACGTCTCACAATGACCTTATGAGGTAGATTGGTAGGTGTCCTAATATAACAGATGCAGAACCCAAGACTCATTGGCGTTGGATAATCTTCCTAAAATTATACAGTAATTGGCAAGACTGGGGTTCCAACTCAGATTTATCCAACTCTAAAATCCACCACACTACAAGGATGAAGTGCTGAGGGGGATAGCTTGTGTGAGGGAGAGGAATGCCAGGTCAAAGGTATAGATGATGTCCCACAAGGGGACCGTTAGCTGAGCAGTGTTGTAGGATGTTTATGGAGGATGGTGGAGAACCCACAGGGAACTCCATGCCTGGGAAACACTAGAGAGGGGCAGGTAGCAGTGGGCATGAAGAAAGCCAAGAAGAGAAACAGGCCAACCAAAGGCTAGTTGATGAGCAAGATGCTCACCTCCAGATTTAAACAAAAATACTCCTCCAGTCAGTGCACAAAACCCAAATTAAGTGCCAACAAATGCACAATCTGGCTGCGAGGAGGATCCTAAACCCAGCACCCTCACGTGCTCTTCTTTCTTCCCCCACTCCACTCTCAAAGACAACCTCAACAACTATTGTTACACATTTGACTTAAAATGATAAAATGCACAATTATTATATTTCAAATTCAGTTAAGTTTTCTATTTTAAAGGTATTCATTTTTACTTTACTGGTTTAGTTCACATGCAATAATGGAGTTCTCCCCCCCCTTTGAGATCACTTTTTAACTTCAATAAGCTTTTGACAAGAAACTTTTCTTCAAAAGGTGAATCATCTGGCTTTTAACCCCGCCCCCAACTACCAAACACGAGACTATCAGTACCTTTACTCAAAGGTATCACTTGGGGATGAGGTAAGGATAGCAATTCACAATCCAGCCGCCCTGCCCTTAACTACTACCCCGGTATAGGGAGAAGACCGAGGCTGTAATCGGGGAAAATCAGTGTATCTGATGCGTCTGTGTCTTGAAGAGTCAACCCTACTTCGGGATGGTATGTGCTGAGAAGAAAGGGGAACTCAGTTTCTCACCACTGAGCTAAGAAGCCCAACAGACAATGCCGCCCCCCTTGCTATGCGAGCTGGATTTATTGGTCAAATACGCATGTATGAACTTCCAGAATTGCAGGGCTACCTCTTGATTTCCCAAACACTGCCGTCAGGAGACATTGTCCGGCTAGTGACTCAGAGTTCCGGGTGGAGGGGTGGGGAATCTCTCTAAAGTAAATTAGCAATTCCCACCCCTCAACGATCCCTGTACATGCCAGGCACGGTGGGAGACATTTTCTGCTCAGCTTCCCTAAATGATGCCACGGGATAGCTCTCTGGCTACATCAGGGTGACGAAGCTTATATGGGTATACCCCCACATCAGGCCGACAGACACCCTCTACGCAGCCGGCACAACTCGGGTAGAGGCGGCCCCAGTCGAGGAAGACCACTGCGGCCTTGTTTGCGTTTAGGCCCGCGCGGAGCCGCAGCTGGAGGTAGATCTCCTTCCATGGCACACCCTATCAGCCCCCGCTATTTTCAGCGAGGGCCCTGAGACCAGATTCCCCTACCCTTCGGGCCCTTCGAGAGCTCCCGCTTCCGGCTTCCTGACCAGACCTCCATCCCCGCCTTCCAAGGCCCCGCAAGCCAGCCCCGCGGCTCACCCTCAAGCGTCTCGCACTGCACCAGGTTGAGGTAGTCCGCTTGACTGAGTACCCCAGCCTTCAAGCCGCGCACCAGCCCCTCCAAGTAGCCATTATCCACGTTGAAGTAAAGCTCGGGGAAGGACGACATGGCTGCAGAGTGGGCGGCAGGACCGTAGAACCCCCCGCCAGCCAGCCAGCACACAACGCAACTCAGGATCAGCTGACCCGGCGCCCGCAGCGGGCTGTCAAGAGCGTCAGGTGACGCCAAACGCCTCACGTGACCACAACGAGGCAGGGCCCTGAGCGGTGCCCAGCTTCCGGGTGGTTTCTTGCGGAAACATTGCGCAAGCGTGGTCTGGAACTAGTCCCCTAGCGCCTGCGCACTAAGGGAAGGCGGGCCTCTTGCGCCCTGGAGAGGGAGCTGCTTGGATTGCCACAGGCTCGCCGCGTGGGGGCGTTCATGACCGCAGGAGTGCCATTGGGCCCTCCCTGTAGCTTTCGCGGGTCTGGTATGTCTAATCCCCTAGGGGGCGGTGCTTCTTAAACTTGGAAGTAAGCCTGGAAATCTTTGAGTCCGCTTTCCTCACGAGGGACTGAGGTCCACTGATGGGTCGGCCTGCCAGGTTTTATACGTTGAGTTGGTTGCTAAATTTGCCAGTCGAGAATTAGAGCCCCTATGCCTCGTCCGCCGCTTTTCTCTGCGTGTTTTGTACAAGATTCTGGAGGGCCAGAGCGGCTGTTCTCTGGACCCTCAAAGCAACAGGAGCCCTAAAAACGCTCTTGTGTGACTCAGAAGAAGGGTTAGTATACGCCTTGGGGCAAGGGTGTGTGCGTGGGATTTCTTGACTTGGCAGCACCCTCAGTGCAGTAACACGGGGCCCCAAACCCGCTCCGACGGCACATTCGAAATAACGCAACAGCCTCGGTTGGGATTAGTCTCAGTCTTTATTCCCGCCACTGTTTCTGGCCCCCACCCTGACGTCAGCCAGTTAAGTGCGGCTGCAGGGATGCGTGGCAGTACCCAGTTTGCGGCAGTAGCAGAAGGCATTGAAGAAGCGGCAGTAGCAGGTGGCACATGGGTCGCAGCAGGGCACCTGGTGTCCTAGACAGGACTCGTGCAGCCGCACGCAACGACGAGGGGAGCGAGTCTCTCGGCCCTGAGGGTCTAGCGCCTGCAGGCATGGGGGAGCAGGAACGTAAGCGTTGGCTTTTGAGAGCAGGACCAGACGGAATACTGGACAGCAGTGGAGTGTGCAGAAGGGTCCTGCCACAAGTAGAGGGATCTGGGGATGGGAAGTGGGGATGGTGCCTGATAACCACCCCCAAGGCCTGCCATGTCACCTCACCCCTTTCCTTACACAGTTACCTCTGCCAAAGCTTCAGCCTCCTGCAGCAGGTCCTCTTTTGCCTGTTCTGCAGCTGTATTCTTTAGCGCCGGCTGCAGGCCCAGGCCTGGGATAGAAGAGGTGAGGGCAGTATTCCCCACCAACAGTCACCCACCTCCTAAAGCTGGGAATGTGAAGAGGGAAGGAGGGCTCATACTGGGTGGGACAGTGTGTGGGCAAAGGTGTCCAGGCCCCACCCAGCCCACGCCTACCCATACTGACCTGGGAACTCTGGGAAAAGGGCCTGGTCAGGCCTGATGCCCTCCAGAGTGGGCAGGCCCATCTGGGCCGCCTGCATGATGGGCAATGCCTGCAATAGGGCACAGCTCAGCAGCACTGCAATCAGCATGACCTGGGTCAGCAAGGAGAGCCACCACTTAGTCCCTCCTTATCCTTGGAGCCCATCTAGTGCCCACCCCAAAGAACCACCCCCTCATCCCTATCCCCACCTCCACCCCTAGAGACTAGAGTTCCTGCCCAACTCGAGCACTTACCTGTGCTTGCTGGGTCCTTGCCCCTCGAGTTTCCAGTCACTCTGTCTCCTCAGCTTATATGGCAGGACCTAATGAAGGGGTCACACGTGACTGTTCCTTACAGCTGAGGTGAGGGGCCCTCCCTAGAGGGTGGGGACACTGGGTTTCTTTCCCTGGGCCCTGAGTTTTTGAGTGCTCTACATGCAAAGTGCCCATCTCCAATTTGGGATGAGGTCTTCAGGAACCAATCAAAGTTTGGGAACATGATAGGGTGCCCAGAACCCCCAAATTTCTGTTGGACAGGGGCCTAGAGAGGTGAGCCAGTCTGGAGCTATTAGCAATAACAAGGCAGGCGGCCCTGAGAGGTTTAACTTAATTTATGATGTTCACTCAGCCCCTACGCACTGTGTTCTGTTTCATTTGCTTCCAGGAACTTGGTCAAGGGCATCAAAGTGGGAGATGGAACAGTGACTGGAGCCAGGTGGAGGAGGGTGCAGACCCTGACTCTGGGCTTTTTGGGGGGATGTGAGGGAAAAATGCCCACTTAGTCAAAATCAGGTCCTCCTGCCTGCACCTTGGGCTCTACTTCCCCTCACCTTTTTCCTTCCAGGCTCCACCAAGACCCCTACCCCTGCTTCTGTCCCCCACCCTCAGCCCCTTTCCACCTGAGGTTCCTGGAAGCCAAGGAACTGAACGAACTGTTCTCCAGGTTGGCATTGTTCTCTGAGTGGGCGGACAGCTTTGGAGTAAAAAGCTTTCAGGCCGCCTGCCTCATTAGTGCTAATCTCCGCTTCCTTCCTTCCGCCTAGTATTGTCATGCCTCTGCCCATGCCAGGTTTAGGGGAAGCCTGACTCTTCATGGAGATGGCATGACACACAGGCCCCCATCTGTTCAGCCTATCTGCGGAGGGGATGCAAGCTAAATCAGCTTTGAGGCTTCAGTGTATAAACTGGACCCAAGCAGTAGCAAGAGGATGAGGGTCATTGGGGATGGTTGTCCAGGTTCACATGGGCCATTCCGACCAGGAGGAGACCTGAGGAGGTCCTCCTGACAACAAATGAAAACCAAATACTGTCATTGGTTTTCAGTGAGTAGAAACCAAAGGAAAACCTTTGATGTGCCTGGGGTCAGCACCAACAATCAGAGGAGTTCTGGCCAGTGGCCAGAGGCAGGTGTCTCCCATAGATGGTTGTTGATGTCTGCTTCAGACTCAGGTAGACAACGACTCTCCTATGGTTGGCTCAGGTTAACATTCCTACAAGTTTCTGCTCCCCAGAGAAGGAAGCAGGGGAGTCAAGGAAAATCTGAGGACCTGATCCCTGAGCTGAACCTGCAAAATGATCTAGCAGAGGGGCCAGTGCCTTTTCCTCTTCTGAGAATGGTACTGGCTATTTTGGTGACATTGTCACAAAGTAGATGAAGTATCAAAGCCTCTCTAGCAGTCGGCCTTGACCTTTCTCTCTTCCTCTCTCAAAAACTGTAGCCCAGCTTAGTGGCCCACTGAGAGCTTTCTCTTCTCAGAGTGGTGCAAATATTAGGTACACGGGTGTGTAACCCTCCTGGTTGGTCCACTTAGAGTTCAGGAAGGGTAATATATCAAATATACCGTGTGCCCTGGCCCCATCCTTAGAGATTCTGGCTTAACAGATGGGCATGGGGAACATCGACTGCATATAGATTTTGGAAACGTGCCCAGGTAAGGTGGGCATGGGGATTCTGGGGATCTGTTAATACCCAGACTAAGGACAGCTCTAGGGTGGGACATCATCACACCTAGGCATCAGTGTCTTTGTTCACTACAGGACAGTGACTGTCTTTACAGGGATGTGTGCACACAGGTATATCAGCATCGTAGCCTGCGGCAGACAGGACCTGAGGCACTCACAGGGACCTTCCATGTCTCTGAGGGAGATGGTCAAGAAAACAAACCACCAAAACACTATGGAGTCAAAACAGTTTGGCAGTTCCTCAACAATTTAAGTCCAGAACTACCATATGTCCCAACAATCCTAATCTTAGGCATATACCCCCAAAAATTGAAAGCAGGAATACAAGCAGAAACTGAACACCGATGTTCATTGCAGCAATTTTCACAATAGTCAAAGGTTCAAACTAACCAGAATGTCGATCAACAAATGAATAGATGAAATACAATGGACTATTACTCAGACATAAGAGAAATGGAGTCCTGATACATGCCACAATATGGATGAACAGTATGCTGAATGAAAAAAGAGAATTTCAAAGGCACAAATGCCATATGATTTTACTTATTTGAAATAAGTAAATATATAGAAACAAAGATAAACAGTGATTACCAGATGTGGGTAGGAGGGAGGAAAGGAGGAGTGTTTGCTTAGGAGTCATTGAGTTTACATTAATGATTACAATCCCCTCTATGCACCACCGCTTAACAGCATTTGCCTCTGTTCCCCCCCTGTTCCCCCCCTTTTTTTTTAATGTACACGAAACACACAGAAATATATATTCATCTGAACAACCAAAGAGCACATTTTGCAAGCCTGTTTCCTGGCTGCCGGCACATACCCTCTTTCCGTGAGTCTGGAGTCCTCAGCTGCACTCTCTTTCCATGCCATCACTTCTGTCTCCATCTCTGGTGTTGCTGCTTCTCTGGTTAGGATCCCATGCTCCGCTCATGCTCTTCCCTCTTTTTTTTTTTTGATTTGGAACATGCATGTCATTTTATTCTTCAGGCCTGAGACAGTCAGAAGAAATAATCCTTCTGAGACAATGGGAAGTAATTTCATTAATTTGTTGTATGATATTTGTTGCAGGGCCCTTCACAGATCTCTGTCTTGAAATAATACTTAAAAACGTGTACACTCACTTTCTGCCCTTTGATGCTGTGTCTTCACAGTTCATTAGACTAACACTGATACATGACAGGGCCAAGAGAGATCGCAAAGAGTGTGAGACAAATGCAAGTGTATGCTCAATACGAAGACACATTTTGATCACTTACATCATGAGTCATGTGATTATAGTGCCACAGGTGTGGCACATGATTCATGAGAGAAATTAATGTGAGGTTATACCCAATCGGTCCAAAATGAAGAAGAAAATACTATCGTCTTATACAAAATTTATAAAATGGTATCGGTTCCTTCTACTGTAGTACTCGCTCTTCTTTTGTCCTGTCTGCTTGGAGGGTATTTACTTTAGACAATGGTGCCCCTGTTTTGTTGTTGCCCTAAACATGTGTTTACTTTGCTTAATGGTAATCCATCTCTGCCTGTAGGACAGAGTATAGCTATCCCATAGGATTTCCTAGACTGCAATCTTTATGGGAATGTATTTCCTGTCTTCTCACACAGAGTTGCTGTATTGGTTCAAATCACCATTTTTTTCAGTTAGCAGTCAAGCGCTTATGCTCTTCCCTCTTGATGGTCCTAGCTAGGGTCCTCTGTTCCTGGAATGAAAGATTAATTACTCCTCTCTCTTTTTTTTTTTTTTTAAGGCTCCCTCTTGAAAACTTGTTAGCCGGTGACTTCTTGCCTTTGTAGCCTCCCCCCCCCTTTTTTGGGTAGCTAGTGTTCAAGTTGCCCATCCCTGTCTACTCTGTGTATTGAGGGGGTGGGAATGATTACTTTTTGTTATACATCTTCTACCTTTACAGTTGTGATAATCACAATTAGTTGTGATAACAATTACTATTGAATCAAAAGAATCCTCCCCCCATCCTCCCCCATCCCCTTTCACCAGACCCATCTAGACAAGATGAAAACTATTCTGTGGGGATTCTATGCCCCCTTCCACTCCCCATCCCTCTGAAACTAAGCACACTCTTGAAAACTTGTAAGCCAACCATTGTGCCTTTATAGCCCCTCCCCCCCATTTTAGGTAGCCAGTGTCTAAGTTACCTGAATTATATTGAATGGGTTGGTTTGATCCTTGATGTGAAGACTCCCTCCCTCTTGGTTGGTATTTTGAGCAACTACATCATCCATAAGCAAAGGTCAAGTTCATCAAATCATAGCAATTTACACCTGCTTCCTGTATCAAACTTCTTTATCTTCCTCTAGTCAAGTTCTTCCAATTTTCCCAGATTCATACTTCACACATGCATTCCATGTTCCGATTTTCAATGGATGTTTACAGCTGTTTCTCTTCATTTTGAGTTGTGGCCCATCAGCAAATGAAGGTTCTGTGCACTTTTCTCCCCC